AATTCAAGAACATTTTTACCGTATTCGTATTTTGGGCCTTCAAGGGTGCTTTATTTGCAAGCGTACACTGTCTTCCATTTTATTATTACGATATTCTTCCCATACACAAGTTACTTTGACTTGATTTCCCAATAGCAATAATCTCGTGCAGTATTTGGATACATTGATTGGATATATGCATGTTGCATAGTGCTCGGATGGCTACTGTTACTGTTTTTACTGATGCCAACACACATCTGAAAATAATAGTTTTGCCGTATAAGCACGGGTAAAACTTCCTTTGAAATGGATTTCGACATTTATATTACAGATACGAGGGGTAAAAAAGATAAATTGTTGTCAGTGTTTGGACCCATTGGAAACTTAACTTTTTGTTTCCACCTCATTTCATTTATGAACCAGTGGATGATACGTAAGGTGGCCAACAATAAAAGCTTGATATTGGATCATCAAACTTCAGGTTGGTGATCAGTTGACACATGGTTTTTTAACATTGGGTCACCTCAAATGGCTGCACTCGAAAGTATTTGCTTAATTTCTCGTAACATCTTTCAATATTTGAATGATAAACAAAACCATGTTCTAGACCAATATTTGCCAATTCCAATTTCACATTTTTTTAATGTAGCTTTTGCATTTTTTCCCACATATGTGAAGAAATTGTGATACAATGTTACCATGTTACCACATTTAATTTCAAAAAAAAAATAAAAATAAGTATACCGCAAAGAAACACGTCTTCACGCATAGCGAAAAATGGTCTACAATGGAAAGTTTTTGAATTGGCAAACACATGCCTGGGACATGGCATTTTTTTTATTTATTCAAATAATGAAATCTATAATGAAAAAATGGCGAAAAAAACAAAAAACGTTTAAGTCTTGGGTGTGCGGCTATAAGAGGTGACCGAAAGTTAGTCATAAAACTAAATCAACGTGATCAAACCACCCTGTGACTTGATGTAAAGAATTATTTGGAAGTACAAATGTATATTTTAATGTACATTGATTCGAATTATAGATTACATTGTAAGAAAGCTATCAGAATTAATTCATATAATCATTATGTTATATTTACTTTACGTTTGTCGAATGCTAAATAAATCAGGAAATATAAAACAACCATCACTGTTTTATTTTTCTGTATCTCTTAGGCACCTGAAAAGGAAATAATCGAAATTTATAGAGAATTTTTTACCGTAATAGAGTTATCAATTCTATGTAATGCTGATTTATCTTTTAAATTAATCTTAATCATAGTGGGCGTCAGTGGTTCGAGTTTCGGCAGTGACTTTGGATTCGTTTCATATGAATTTAGGTAGATTACGGGTCGTCTTTGGTTCTACTCAGGTGCCCATGTCCTGCCTTGAATAATGCATAGAAGGGCACTTGAGGTCTTCTCCCATAAGCAATGCTAGAAAGTCGCCATGCACTGTGTTGTTGCGACGAAAAGTAAAAAGCCAATCATTTACAAAAAAAGCAAAATACAATTCAAAAAAAAAATCAAAAAATCCGTAGACATAAAACTTAAACATATACTTGTTGTTACCTTAAATCCCAAAGTAAGCACGGAAATGCATATACGGATTTTGTTTAAAGTGATACGGATAAAGTTTCCCCAAATTGATTATGAAAAATCTGCTTACTTACCGATTGAAAGTGTTTGTCACATAGATTCACCACGATATCTATGTTAGCTAACGTCAGGAATTACAGTAGAATTATGTAAAACATAATTTAGAAAGTTAAGCTGTGGTGAAATTTGCCCTTATTTGACCGGTGATTTAGTTTTGTAGAATCAGACACGACAAGTGACCTAAGTGTTAAAGGTGTCTGCTTGTCAACCTAGGCATCATTGGTTCGAGCCAAACTCGGTTCATACGGGTGGCCAACTTTATATGGTTCACCGAAATGTTCATCTGTTAAAATGATGTGCTTGTTTCCGGTAAAATAATAGTTCAAATGAATAAAAAAAATAAAAAATGGAAATAAAAATAAAATTGAAAAAAAAGAGACAAAAAAAAAAAAAGAGAGAAAAGAAGATAAAAAAGATGTTCAATTTTTTGAAAATTTTCTTCAATTGGCGTCCATATGTTGGAGCTTAACCAACATATGTTTAACCGGAAAACGACAGATCATTCTAACCGATTGCACATTTCGGTGAAATTATATGAAGATGTTTCCTTTGATTACTTGAAACTCATTTCAATATACTAGAAACCATAAATTTCTAGACCTGGGATCCGTTTTCTGAATTGAGACTAGCTCTCCTTGATCTAGTGTATAGTAGAATACCTCAATGAAGAATGCATTGAATGAATTGCTCAAATCATTGGTGTGTCTCATACATCTTCAAGACATTTAAATTAAACATTATTATCTCCCTTTCATCGTTGCCATTCTCAAATTAGCTTGACACTGGAACTGCTATTACGTCGCTTTAACTGCTGTTTTTAAAAAAAAAATATATATATAAGTCATTCGAGTGGAGACAACAGTCACATTGCTTTGGTCAGTAGACTAAGAAAACAAATGCTCTGTTTATATCTTGTATTCCTCCATTGTACAAATTTACGACACTACAATAGTATGCCAAACAAATTCCAAAACATTTCTGTGGACAATTTAATACGTTAATGTCTTTTTGCTTTTCCAAACAACAGTACCGTACTTAGAGTCATTTAGGTATTCTTGAAATATGTTTTGTACCGCATTTTGTATTTTCCCCATTTCAAACATTAAAACCATACATGAAGGTGTCTCATTGACCAATTTAATTGATAATTGATCATTTAAATCAAAGTGTATGATAATTTTTATATACATTTAAAAACAGTAAATGTTGTTTTCATCACATTATGGTCGTTCCTTGGAAGATTTGTTGCATTGAATGTCTAAGTAATCTAATATACATGAATATTGTAGGTAAAAAGAATAAATTGTTCCTCAGCGGTTATTATTGGTTTGACGATGATCTAAATCATGATTGCTCGCTTTCATTATATGTATTCTGTAACAATTGTAATCACAATATATACATAGTTCTACAAACAAGGGGTCTGTTGATTTATATAAACTTAAATGGGAAAACAATTCGATTCGAACCAGTCCATAAACAATCTTTTGAAAAGTGAACAAAATAAAGCATTTGGTATCCAAAATTTCAAAGTTTATACAAGGCGAATTCCTTTTGAAAATCTATACTTCAAAGTATTTTGAATAAATACACACTGTTTCAAGAATGAACATATGTCAAAATCTTTTTAAAAACCTGATAATCTGTGCTTATTTAAAAATCCGGTTATATACTTTTTTATCAAACCGCGAGAAAAGTTTCAGAGCATTTTTTCAACGACACACATTCTAGAAAGTACTTATACCATAACGTATAAGTTATTGAATTTGTCTTTCTAAATAACCACTGAATGACGTTCCTTGAATCTACAGTTTCTCGGTAATTCTGTAACCGGTAACAGCGCCCTATAGTCCACCACATTCTCCAACCTTCATTCTTTTATTAAATACACCGACGTCGAAGACTTCCGTAAATTTCCGTAGTCTGCACCATTTGACCCGTCCTGTGGATTATTGAAAGCTATTACTTTATCTGTTCCGTTCAGTTTAATGTAACATCCGGCATAGCCGATACTGGGTGACCGTCTTTTGATGATGTGTAGGGAAAAGTAGTAGAGTCCACTAACAGGACACGTGAACTTGCCAGTCGATGTATCAAACGCGTTCCCTTCGTTTGTAATGACTTTTGTAAAGGACATAGATGTTGATGTAGCACCCTTCTTAGGTTGGGTCACTGTGAAAGCCACGACTTTTCCTAAAAAAACGACAGAATTGTATCATTAAAGGTTTAAAAACTGATAAAAGGATATATTTAGGTGAATGTTTCTTGAAACATAAATTATGTTACATTTCAGAATAAAACCAAACAACATAATTATGTTGATCTTATAATGCAAAAGATGAAAGACATATCATTTGGCATGATGGTAAATATTGAGCGACATGTACATTGTTTATAATGTAGAAGTAATATTATCTCAAATATTTCTTTTGCCATAATCATTACGTTGCCTTAACCACGTGACTTTTATAATCTGCTTGCGACTGAAACAATACAAAACACATTTCAGGTAGTAATTTCTTCTCAAAAATAATTTTTTGAAGTTTTCTGAGGAATAGTCATATGTTAGAAAATGTGAGCGCCTGTTTGAATCTTCAGATATTCACAAGGTTTCAGTTTACGGAAGAATATAATTGTTCTCAAGAAACATCTATGTAAGGCTTAATAAGTAGATTAAGCGGACTCTACAATTTATTCAAAATGAGATAATTGGACAATAAGTCATGATGGAAAATTGTACCGTCTTTCGTGTTGGTTTCCTGCTATGGTCAAACTTTCACATGAGAGACAATTTTGAAATTGAAGTGGACATAGTGTAGTTGTGTTAGCCATGCATTTTGAGGTGGTAACTGTTAGTTTCGAATATATGAGTTAAGGGTATAGAGAATACTTAAAACAGTGTGAAAAGGAGCTCTAGGACACCATATTTTCATATTGATTTTAAAATTGTATAGTTTTGAAGGAAAGATCAGTGAAGAATATGACATATAGAAAATTTTGTATTTGTATTCTGTCACACAGATCACAAAATGTAACGCAATATAGACACCGTGATAATAATAAATAAATTATAGATAATTATTTAGATAAAGTTTACTTTCTAATCAGACGTAAACGTTATACCTCAGGAGGTAGTATACAGTTTCAGTTGGCTAGTTTTAAATTGCCGTGGTCAAATTTACAAATAAGAGACAGTTTGAAATTGAAGTATATTGATATGAGTGGTGTTAGTCATGCATTTTGTAGAGTAACCTGCTGTATTCGAATATATGATTTCATGATCTAGCTCAAAAATCAGCTCTTCAATTTAAAGGATATGCAGAACACTTAAAACAATGTAAAATGGAGCTCTATGACACCGTATTTTCATGCAGGTTATCAGATTGATAGCGTGAAAAGAAAAAGATTAGTGCAGGATATAATATATACATCGGCCATTATGTTTCTGTAGGACTTCAGTGACAGAAGATTTTGGCTGTTTGTATTGTCGTTGCTACGAAAAACAGTCAAAAAGAAAATTTGATGTTGGGCATGTATTAATAATTGGTTTAAGGAGAAAATTGGAGATTGCCCTTCAGTCCTGGTATATTTGACAAACGGCATAAACCCTATGTATGTACACTCTCATCACTTTATGTTGATATCCCAAATAATGTTATTAAATTGGAAAAGAAAAAGAAGCACACACAATAATATCCCGAACGAAGAACGTTGTGTACAACTTGACATGATAACATAGGGTGTGAGTTCCATGCTTTTTTATATTTATGTCAAATATACAATCATATTCGCGATAATTATTGATTCATTTGATAATTTGGCGGAAAAGAACCGCATGATTTTATGTATTAATAAATACACGTGATATAAGGAAGCTTGTAATATTATTACGGCGACGGAACATTATGAAAAACTGGTTAATGTATAAAAGGCCGGACAATTATAAATATTATTAAGGCGACGGGACCATATTATTAATTGGTGTATGTATAAAAAGCCGGATGCTTTAGAACACACAATTTCTTTTTTAATTTTAAATTTTGCTAAAAATGCATTCATTGGCGGCATGTCCGGTTTGTGACCACAGAGTACAGACACATTTTCATGTTTAATTGTTGTTTTTTGCTTTAGCCGGTGCTAGGCAGTCATAACTTGAACTTCTCAGTGCCGTTCAATTTGGTCGTTTTGTGCGTTCTTTTGGGGATATCGTATTCGAGGTTTTGATTCGCTGATGTCAGTTCAGTTGTTTGTCAAGAAGTTTGGAAAACTGTTTACTGCCTCGTCGTGTATAACATACGGGGACATATTCTTTTGCAATTGAAATTGCCTTATATACAAAAAAAAAGAAAAAAAAAAAAGAAATATTACATCATGTTAGCTCGTACAATAAAAGCTCATGTGTTTTATCCAAACTTAAACATTATTCTTCAGAATATTGTTGTCGTCTATATATTTTACATGAAAGATAAGTTTAATATAAAAATGTAAAAAATGTTATTTTTTCCAAGCATTTAACCTTTTAAAGTTAATAGAATTTGCTAAGCTAGACCATTTTTTATTAAAGACAATATCACTTATTTGCAATAACAAGAATTATTAAGATAAATTTTAATATAAATTTTTTCCAGCATTTGTTTAAGTAGAATTTGCTATGCAAGACCATTTATCATAAGGGACAATATCACTTATATACCAGTAACAATAATAATGTGATATGCATTTCTGTAAAACCTTCTGTTGAAACTGACCTTTCATTATCAGCGTTTATCTTTTATGAACGTTTTCAAACTCCATCTTAGAATTCGCCACACTTTCGAGCATTTCTACCGTAAACATTTTTCTGTGTTTCAACTTCTTCCGCATTCTCTTGTTTGCTATTTCTTAAACTCTGCGAGAAACAACTTAGAACGTCCACCTCTAAATTCCTTTTCTTCTCTTGTCTTTACTTCATTAATAAGCCTCTGAAAGTTTTTAGCTTTCTCTAACTCTGCAGCAAACAATTTATCGCGTTCTTCTTTTTCCCTGGCTTCTCGGGCCTTTGCTCCGTTATTAAACTTTTTAACTTTCTCTAACTCTAAGGCAAACAATTTATCGCGTTTCTCTTTTTCTTTTGCTTCTCGCGCTTTTATCCCATTAATAAAATCCTCAAATTTCTGAACTTTGTCTTCGAATCTTAATTGTTTCATTAACATTTTCTCGTCATAGTCAAACCTTGAAAAACATTTAGGTTCTCCAGGTTCTTCTCCGTTGACAAAAGAAAAACACAGTATCACGACGGAATAATATTTCAACAACATATTGACTTGTTACGCCAGTTGTCATATATTTGCATGCACTTCGTCAAGTGACTGCAAACTTTGTATTTGCTCGCTAATATAATTACGAGAATTAACGAGGATAAAATGTTTTTTTCCATAAGACTGTGGTGGGTTGTTCATGATGTTCAGGAGAAAATGAAAAGATTCCAACGGTTTTGAGCAAACATCACTTTTTAAACCTTGACATAAATTTGTAATTGTACGCTTCAGTTGAGTGTCAGCATGGCCGAGGACTAGAAATCTGTTGTTTAAGAGACATTGAAAAGATTTTAAAGGCTTTTAGTAAACATCACCCTTTAAACCTCACATATAAATTTGTAACCATACATTTCATTTGACTGGCGGCATGGCAGAGTGGTTAACGCGTCGGAGTAGATATCTGAGGATTGTAATCTAAGGATTGCTGGCCGCGTTGGTTCAAATCCCGTCAGGGATTTGCACACTTTTCACTTATTGCTTAGTTCTGGCTGGTTCCAGGAGCGAATTCAAGTGTTTATATAACCTTTTAGCTTTCAACACAATAAAATAAATTGGCATATTAAACTGACCATTATTGAAATTAACACTTTCTAAATTTGACACAAGCACGCACGCACGCACGCACCAACACACGCACCAACACACACACACGCACGCACGCACGCACGCACGCACGCACTTATACACACATGTTTCTAATGAAACAATAAAGAAATGCATGATTCTAATTTTCTAATTGATAAACCTGGATATTTGTTTGATGTTACCACGGAAATTTATCTAAGAATTCCTTCCTTATCTTCTTTAAGTTTGATCTTTTGATCGTATGATAACGGTAATCAAATGGATATAACTCAAACTTACCATTACTTTTTCATCAACCCTCCTTATTTATTTCTCATTCTTAGTTTATCTAGTTTAACCATGCCTACGTTTTTTTTATAGATGCCTTTCCGTAATTGATTCAATAAAGATTTTAATTTTATTTTCTTCGAAACCCGGACATAATAGTCGTTATTCCATGAATTCAATGATAAATGAAAAATATTACAATGTGACGTCATTTACGACGTCACGTCATTAAGTTGATTTCCAGTACTGTGAACGCTTGTATTTCACTGAAACAACGTAACGGGCTCAACTATTCATAATATATAAAGTATGTTTTGGAAAATGCACAGTACAAAGTTCGTTAATTTTTTATACGTTTATTTCTGTTAGCGCTTTCAAATGTTTCTACATATCTTCAGACAGTAACGTATAATATAAACATAACAAATATAACAATGACGTAACGGTATAAAAGTGCGGGAAACGTAAAAATACGACGTTGCGCTGCAAATGAGATATTCTTTTACCTTCTATATAAGAAGTAGGAAATTGCTACAAAAATACATAGGGTAAATATTCTATAAAGGGAGGTAATAAATAAGTATTAAAATTCAAAACATTGATTAATTATAGAAGTAGATACAACGTTTGCATTACCTATAAATACTTTTTAATATTAGTGAGCTAAACGAGTAAAAATATGTCAGTAAATGTTTTACTTGAAACCATGTGGAAATGGAAGAATATTTACTTATATATTTCCCAAAACATACTTTTTTATACATGAGATCCACACAAGGAATCGAACTTCTGTATATATATAGAACAATGTATTACCATATCAGACACATCATGTCTAAATTGTTTTATTTTCGACGACTTTTGATAACAAATTAGCGAGTCTTTTTATACCAACATGCTTTATGTGCGTGAGGCTTTTAACTTCGTAATGAAATAGCTTAAATATTTCGAATGGACATTGAAAGACTAGAGTTGAGAACAAAAATGTAAAAGACAATATTTATTGTCTACAACATTGACATAATACGCATTTAAATATTTTAAGGAAGTTAAATGATCGTGCGATACTACATTTCAGTTGTGAATACGATATCATTTCGTTACACTAAAGATTTAAGCTGTTGTGTTTGTATTAAAGCCATACAGATCATTTAAAAGCATATTTTCCTTGATTATATCTCACGTTAAGTAATGGTGAAACACAAGAAAAATAACAAAGAAAAAACTAAACTTGTAACCCATCTTTTTTACAAGAGAGACACCTGGCTATGTTTTGTTTTTCTTTAAGCAAATAACTTTTGAAATATTTAAAACAGTTAGGCACACGTTAGACTTCGTGCTATTTCTCTTACATTCAATATATGTAGACTACTTGATGTTAATCAAGACTATTATAGTACGTAGTTCATTAGCTTAAATATCCTCTAAATCCTTGGTTATAGCATAACTATTTTTGATATACATTGTATTTATAAGTCTCTGGCGATCCTTCGGCCAAAAACCGGCACAAAAAGAACCACATGAATTCTTTAAAGCTGCAGATACTGTTATAGTCAATAAACAAAACTTTGAATAAAAGACAAAAACGCTACATACTTTGAGTAAAATTGTTTCTGGGAAATCAACTTTTGAAATTGAAAAAAACAAAACAAATTATTTATCATCAAAATGAAATGAGTTCAAAGTATTCAAAATCAAAAAATAAAAGGTCTTCAGGTGGCAAAGTTAAAGCAAATAAGGTACATACATGTCAAAAGTGGTTGGTTGCTTGCTCTGACTCTGAAGATTCTTCATGTGTCTCAGATGAAAAATGTTGCGTTTGTAAACTTTTTCAACCAAAAGAACTACTTTTGTAGAATATTTTCTAAAGGAATAACATTGATTAAATAATTGAAAACACGTGATTGACAAGAAAAAAGTTTAATGAAAGGTAAGGCTAAATTTTTTTGTATTTCTGTTCGATTTTTACTAAAGAAAATTGCCAAAAATATCTTGTCGTATCGAAAACAAGTCAATCAAGGAGAAACGCAATAAAATATCCATATTTTACAAAAATATTTTTTACTGTTATATTGTTAAAGACAAGGTATGCAACATCCGAGTACGAAAATATGGGTTTGTCCGTTTTCGGTGTCAAAGTTGACACAGGCTAAAACGCAGACGCTTATGCAGACAAAATACGTTATACAATAAAGATATAGAGTGTTTTTTTTTTACAAAACGCACACAATATGGAGCAGGAAGTTGTAAATTACACCCTTCAAACGTGTTTAGATTTGCTTTTTTAAGATCAAAACTTTAAGATATTAGAGATTTATAGGTATTGATATTAACATATTAAATAAGAATTTTAAAGAATAAAAATATTTTTTTCTGATTCTTTTAGTAAGAAGTAATAAATAGTGATATAAAAAGGTGGTTTTTTCTTCTTTTTTGACATACTATGCTTGATTTGAATTAACTTTTATTATTTTAAGATAAAATGTCTAATATAAGTTTTGTTAACTTTAATGAGGAGAATTTTAATGAAGACAATAAAGTAAATATCAAAATGAATTTAAAGAACAGAACATATTTTATTTGTTTTTTATACTTAGCCCATATACACAGTAATCATCAAAAAGTTCATGTTATAAAGCATTTATAATAATCTTAAAAAAAAAACAAACAATGCGATGTAAATATATAAATTTATTTCATGTTTTCCAGTGTTTTATTGTAATATATCAGATGATTATATTCATATAAACCACTAGTGAAATTAATAAAATATAATGTAGCCGGACTATATCTGAATGCGGATGAAAAGAAAATCGTAACTAATTGTAAAAACAGGCATAAATAAATGCCGTCGTACGTTAATTTTGCTTCTTTAGGAAAAGAAAGTCGATGTCATCATATATATATGAAAATATATATATATTTCATTCGTGAACACCAGCTAATCTATTTTCACTCGTGGCTACGTCACTCGTGAAAATATTGCATCTGGTGTTCACTCAGTGAAATTATATTTAAATCTCACATGCAAAACAAACAAATATCCTCTATATAATTATCATTAAAACATGTTAACCACATCAAATCACTAAATATCTTACTTGTCTGCGTTTCTTGCAAGTACTATATACTCTATATTGTCTGCATTATATTTCATGTTGTTAATAAAAGAAATAATTCAATTTCGCTACATATCTATATTGTCTGCGTTTCTTGCAAGTATAGTATATACCCTATATCGTCCGCATTTTACTTAATGTTCTATTCCCTTAATAAAAGAAATACATGTCTGCAAAATTCATTTTCACTATATATCTATATCGTCTGCGTTTCTGGCAAGTACTATATATTCTATATTGTCTGCACTTAACTTAATGTTCTATACTGTTAATAAACAAAATACATGTCTGCAAAATTCATTTTCACTGCGTTTCTCTCAAATACTATAGAATGTTTTAATAATTGTGTAAACAAATCATTATGAACAGCCCAGATTATGCATAGGAAAACCACTTCTCAAATATTATGCTATCTTATCAAAATATACGTGCACATCTAAGAGAAGAACTGCAATAGATAAGATAATAGATAAGATATCACTCAAAAGAACATCACTTTGTAACAGTTGAACATTTACATACTGACGACTCTACATACATGGTGACGACTTTACATACATGATGACGACTCTACATATATTGTGACAACTCTACACACATGGTGAGTACTTTACGTATATGCTGAGGACTCTACACACATGCTGACGACTCTACATACATTGCGACGACTCTACATGACTCTACATGCATACTGACGACTCTACATACATTGGGACGACTTTACATACATGGTGACGAATCTAAATACATGATAACGACTCTACAAACATGGTAACGACTCTACATACATGGTGACGTCTCTACATACATGGGGACGTCTCTTCATACAAGGTGACAACTCTACATACATGATGGCGACTGCACATACTTGGTAATGACTCTTTTATACATGGTGACGACTTTACAAATATGATAAGGAATCTGCATACATGATAACGACTCCCAATACATGATAACGATTCTACGTACATGGTGACTACTCTACATACATGGTGACTACTCTACAGACATGGTGACTACTCTACATAC